CCACTAAATAGCTATTTTAAAGTAATTTAATTTATTGAATAGCTATTTAAGCCATTTGATATTACATTAAATAGCTATTTAAGCTATTTTTAAGCTATTAGCTATTATATTAAATAGGTATTTAAGCTATTTTGTACATCACTTGGTGAAATGCAGCTCTGCGTGAGAAGAGCAGCTGTTCTTGGCCCTTACCCCAGCTCCCAGGTTTTTGGGTAGATGTAGCTGTAGCGGAGGGAAAGGAAGGTTTGTGACAGACTATCCCGGACTGTGATCCATGGTGGGCCTGTTGCAGATGGAATTTGGAGAGGGAATGGAAGCCAAGGTCTGTTTCTTGGCTGTTTTATTGTTAATGGGCCTTCTTGGAAACTCCTGGTACAAAATTGGGAGTCACGGGAACTAAACTCTGACACATAAATTAAGCAGTATTACTTTTTCCACCTTGTTTTTCCCTCTTGAAAAACAGCTTTCTGTAACGTGACAGCTGTGAGGAGGTACCTTTGGGTGAAGAGGTTTCGTGGTAAACTTTAAACAAGAAGACAGTTCCTTAAAGGACGCTGAGGAACGCGATGGGAGGTGGCTGGAGGCCGAGCTCGCGTGTTGCCCAACAAGCTGTAGCCGCCCTCTTCTCTCCCGGAGACGGAGAGGAAGCGCTGGATTGCCTGTGCAGAACTCGCTCCTTTGCCCTGCAGAGTCGCGCTTGCAATTTCTTAGCCTGGTTGGGAATTTAATACAAAGAGCCATTCTTGTGAATCATGTTTTCTTTACAGTTTTGCATTCCAGCTCAGCGATTCATCCCTCCTTTCTCTGAGGGCAGGAACGCTGCTGGAGTTCACGTGACTCTAGCAGAATGGCTGGGTTGCGTTCTTCTGCGGGGCTCGGGTGCTGCCATCCCCTCGCGGGTTACTCTCAAAATACACGATGCTTGTTTAAGGAAAGGATGCAAAATAATGCGCGTTAGGTGTACTAAATAGGGTGGTACTCTGGCTCATCATTTTCTGCCCTTGCTAGGGATGTCAGTTAGTTAATATTCCTCAGTGTGAAAGTGTTTCAAAGGTAAATATTTACTGTTGTGAAAGAAGGACTTTTTCAGTAGCCAAATTTACGATGTTCATGTGGCTTCAGAACATTCATCTCCTGCATTATTAGAGCATTCTCTTCTCAGCATTTTTTGTGTGATCTCCACAATCTTTTTGGTGTCATATGGAAACAGCTCTTTGGAAATGCTGTTTTGGACGTGCTATTGAGCATCTGTGTGGGTGTTGCAGGTGGGCTGAGTAGCAGCGTATACTCAGGACGGTTGAACTTCCATTCGGAAAGGACGGAGTTACTTGCGACACTTACTTCGGACTGAATTTCTGTGAAAACCTGAAGCACTTTTGGTGTCTGCCTGTGTGTGAAAGAGGCGGTTCAGTCGTTACAGCAGATGACGAGCAACCCCTTTGCAGCACTCCGTTTCCTCGCTGGCATGCTCTGCTGTGCAAACATCATCCCAATTCCCTCTCCCCGAGCTCCAGCACAGGAGATGCCTCGCAACCGGCGAGTCGTTGGAGCTGCGATGGGAGCATGGCACAGCCCAGGCTTAGCAACCAGCCTGAACCCCAGGTGTTGGCACCTGGTGAGCACTGGAGCATCTCTGGGCGTGCAGCTCGGTGATGCCTGGACTGCCGGGCAGTGGCACTCTGGCGTCCCTTTGCTCCCCAGTTCCCAAGGCGAGGGACCTGCTGGGGCACGTGGTGGCACCCCTCTAGTCCGGGACCCGGAGCACTGAGTCTGACTTCTCAGCCTCAGGGCAGGGTGCGCCCAGGCGCCAGGGTTGAGAAGTGCTCCCAGCTGCTCCGCAGCACAGCATCAAAGCTCTGCGCAATATTAATACAAATGCCTGCCCTAAAACTCGCCCACTCCTCAGAACCTCACTTGTGCTTCTTAAAACCCCAGCTTCTTTCCAAATGACCTTCCTGCGTAAGATGTGGTAAATACGTGAGATGTGACAGATGGGAGAGTGCTTGCAGTAAGGTACACACCAAATGTTTACTGATGGTTCTGTTGAGTTAAAAATAATGGTTCTGTTGAGTGTCTGAAAATTGTCGGTCTTTGGTTTTAAACAGTTCTACATTTATCCTATAAACTGTTTTGAAACAATGTGATTTGTTTCCCCAAATGTAATTTTTGATCATCTTAGAACTATTCATCGCTGCCAAAAGTTTTTGCTTAAAATGCTGTTACTACACCTTTTAATCAAGTCCTTAGAGCCAGCACCCCAGAAAAATAGAACTTTCATTTAGTATTTTAGGACAAACCTATTCTAATTCTGTTGTAGGTTTGAACTGCTGCAGGATGGGAAGGAGAATAAAAAGGGCATGATTAAATTTTCAAGTTGCAAACCCATCTTCATTATGTGCCGTTTAGCAGCTGTTGGAAACACTTGGGGGCATTTTCTTTAGCATTAGAAAATTCCCCATAGAGGTGAGACAGGAGATGTTCATTTAGTATTTCAAGCTTGAAAAATATTTTAACCTTTCCTTAAATTGTGTTTTGGAGTTTAGGATGAACTCTCTGCCTGGCGACACAGATGGCTATGTTTTACATTTTCCTTTGTCTAGGCAGAAAAAAAAGAGACCACATGGTCAGTCAGTGGCTTCAGACACTCAGTCTTTATTTTACATCTTAATGGGACTGCAGAGATTCTGGGAAGATACTCAGAAAATTGCTGTTTACAGTGTAAGATGTGTTGGATTTTGTGTCTTGGAACTCATGAGCTGTTTTTGCTCCTACTTACTAATCCTTGTTAATGAATTTTACAGCTTCATGCCTTAAGATTTAACGTTCATAATTCTGGTATGGAAAAATAAAAACCAAATTCTGGCATGTAAAAATAAAAACTAAGACCACAGCTGTATAGAAAATGTTACTTTATTGCTGGAATGTGAGGGCTCTTATTTTTTAGTCTTTTAGTAGCCAAATTGATAGATGAAGTAGATTTTTAAGGAGGAGTACACTCCATATCTGAGTCACCGAAGTGGTTATAAAGTTAAGTAAGATTTTTAATCTTTCAGCATATGACAGAATGCTTTCTAAGCTTTTTCCTTAGATGCTTTTGGGAAACACCATAATGAACTGTGAACTACAGAAATCAAGTGGGATGCTGGGATAACTGATGGAAAAAATCCATTAAGTCAGTGGTGTGTTACCCAAGCAGACAACTATAGCATATAAAACCAATCCTTGATTCTGATTTTTTTGTGCTTTGTAATGATTTTTTAAGTAGGTTTTAAAAGAATATCAGCTAAATGATGGGTAGATTGATGTGCAACATCAGAGGGACATGGACCTGTTGGAGAGAGTCCAGAGGAGGCCACAAAGATGCTCAGAGGGCTGGAGCCCCTCTGCTATGGGGACAGGCTGAGAGAGCTGGGGGTGTTCAGCCTGGAGAAGAGAAGGCTCCGGGGAGACCTTACAGCACCTTCCAGTACCTGAAGGGGGCTACGAGGAAGCTGGGGGTGACTTTTTACAAGGGCCTGTAGTGATAGGACAAGGGGTAACGGGTTTAAATTGAAAGTGGGGAGGTTTAGATTAGATATCAGGAAGAAGTTCTTCCCGGAGAGGGTGGGGAGGCACTGGGACAGGTTGCCCAGAGAAGCTGTGGATGCCCCATCCCTGGACGTGTTCAAGGCCAGGCTGGATGAGGCTTGGAGCAACCTGGTCTAGTGGAAGGTGTCCCTGCCCATGGCAGGGGGGTTGGAACTGGATGATCTTTAAGGTCCCTTCCAACGCAAACCAGTCTGTCATTCTACGTAGTTGGTGTAAATCTACATGTGGCACATCAAAGAACCCCTGATAAAACCACTGAGCATGGCACCACTTTGAGCACTTGAGAGTAATCTGTCAAGTTTATAGGAGGGTATCGCTGTAATTTAGGCACAGATGTTATTGTTTTCCTCCATTTGAAAGCACTTGTAAGGCTTTAAAGGCTACTACTGTTTTATCACGTAAAGAGGAAGAGTTTCCTGTAGGCCTCTAAGCTCTTGCCCCTTTAAACCAATGTATGCAACCAAATCCATTGGAGTTGTCCTTGAAGACAGCTGTAACCCATTAAAGACTTGATGGCTTTATCCCTGTTCCTGCTGCAGAAAGATTTCCTTTGCAACCCCTGTGGTCACAGAGGTCGTTCCTGGTATTGGATGAAATTGCTGGGATGTTCCCGCAGTTCTGTGTTGGTCTTGCAGGCCTGGGTGGGCGTGTAGGGGTGGGATGGTTTGAGACGCTGCACATCACTTGGTTTGGGTCTCCGACCCTGAGTGCGCTCAGGCAGGCGTTTGGCAGATGCTTAATTCACTTCAGTTAAACCAATAGCACCTATGGGGGGGTGTGTGCTTGGTGTGTGTGTGTGTGCTTGGGGGGTGTGTACGCGTACGGGGACACACAGTGCCTTCTAGTCAGCTCTTTAGTCATGGAGGAAAAGTTTAAATTTCCTCTAGATGTTGGAGTGTGCTGTTTAGTATTCTGCTTCCAATGAACTTCCTAGAAAGAAAGGCTAAGAGAGTGTTGCAGGAAAAATGGTGTTTGCTGAGAAGTTTGGTCACCCTTAAGTGCTGTTCCTAAGACGCAGAAGGAACTGGTACGTGAAGGTCAGTAGTTGCCAGTGTGGTTCATGTTACCGCATGACAAATGTTGTGTTACAAGCAGAGTAGAAGCTCTTTGTCTTGGTAGAAATCTGGAAGTGTAGGAACTTCCTCTGCTGCAACTTGCTGAGCCTGAGGAGTGGGTTTGGATTGTTATTTGAAGCCTCACAGCTAAGGAAGCTCGGGGTGAAGCTTTGCGGTCACTTCTTACGGGTGAAATTAATTCCGTCTTTGCTTCCGTTGGTTGCCTTAATGGGCTGTTGGGTTTTTCCTCTGCTGTTACTGTCTTTGACCTTATCTGTGTTAAAAAATAAAGAACTGTCTGTAAATGGAAATGCTGAAAAATTAACTCTTTATTATTTTTCTTCTGTTTTTTTTCAGCGGAACCCTTGCCTTTAATGGACTTGTGCCGAAGATCAATTCGTTTTGCTCTTGGCAGAGACCGTCTGCATGACATAGAAATTCTACCTTTGCCTCTGTCTCTGAAAAATTATTTACAGTACCAATAAGACGTCTAGAACCCTCTGGCCTCACATTGAACTACATCAATGCAAATGGCAGAAAATTGTTTACAGCAAAATATAAAACTTCATGATGGACACTTAAGTGTTATTTAATTTTTAATATATATTTTTTTCTGAACCAGTGAAAGCAGATCACTGTGGGGACTGCTAAAGAATGTGAAAATGTTGATTTGATCAAGATTCATGTGTTATCTGTTGCCTGTTGTGTTTACAGTCCTGAAGGCCATTATTCTCATCTCTGATACATGGGTTTGTCATCGTTGCCTCTGGTAAACGCCAGTAGAAAATCTGACCTGTACGTTCCCCTGTCACGCAGGACAGAGCATTCTTCGATAATGTGATTTTTTTTTTTTTTTCCCCTCCTTTCTCTCTCCAAATAAATTAGCAAAGGAAAAATCCTGACAGTAACTTCTGAAAAACATTTAAAGCTTGCCTTTGGTATGCAGAGTTGGTGAGCACTTCCAGTGTTCAGCACTCAACGTGGTCAGGACTACAGTGTGTAAAAGTTCTAACAAATAAAAAAGCCGATTGTTGTCTAGAAGAGTATGTGATTTAAAAACACGAGGAAAAAAAACCTGCTATGTGTGTGAAAGATCGATTTTTGGACGTGGTAACAGTAAGATACAGTCCATTGTTTTCCAGACCAAATCTAGTCCCTCCAAAGTTCTGCAGTTTATAACAAAGAATTCACTATCCCAAGAATTTAGGATATTTGTATTTTAGAAAGCTTGTCACTTTTTTTATTTGAACAAATTTATAATTTTTATGTGGTATGAACTCTAAGTACTTGGTTCTCTTTTTAATGTATGTGTGGTTATAATGTTTATTTATCTTTTTTTTAGGGTCTGAGGAGTTCTCATTTAACTGTTTCCTATCTTGGGGTGACTGATTTTGGTTTATTCCCCAACTCCACCTGAAACATACTCATTTTTCAGGCTCATCCCATTTTTAAGATGCTGCTTTCTATTTGCATTTCTTACCTGTTTCAAGTTATCTGCCTGATCAGTTATCTAGTTTTTAAACTGGAAGTTGTTGTTACGGCAGGATGTCAGATGTTTAGACGGAGCTGCCTTCAGCATATTTTAATGTGAATTTACTGACGAATGAGGAGAAAATTTCTAATAAAGCCTACTGTCAAAAATAAAACTTGTGTCTCCTTTGGTGAGGTGTTAAGTAACGTGGCGCCGCGTACAGAGTTGAAGTTCAGTTCCTCCTGCAGCGCTGCAAATGTTTCTGTTCAGCGCGTCAGAATTGCTGCTGCGGGTTGACGTGCGGGAGACGTCGCCGGCAGCGTCACGTCCTCTTCCTGATTTATCCTGCTCGCTCTGAATGTAGCTGTACTCCTGCTTGTGACACAGTTCTGGCCAGATTCCTCGAAACAAAAGCTCAATTTTGGGTGAAGTTGCACTTCATGGTAATTTTGTTCTTTTATTGTTCCCTAATGGCGTGCTGTGATGCTGTGCATGGTAGACACACCGCTTCGTGTGGGATTAGGGCCCTGTTCTGGCGGTCAAAGTCTTTTTGATAGAGCTTTCTTGGTCCACGGAAGACTTGTGAGGAGGATGTACCA